ATTTTCAGTCAAAAATATTTTATTGCTAAGCAAAATTTTGTTTTAAACTAAAGTGAATATAGGACGCTTTAAATAAACAAAGAATTTCAATTATCCATAAAAAATAAATCCAATGCCAGCACTAAATCTTTTAAATAATATTTTTATTTTATTTGCTTGAAAATTTTCTGCCACTTGACAAAAATCGGCAAATCTAAATGATATATATATATATATATAATCCCTTTTTGACCTTCTAAGGATAATAGGAATATGAGTCCTCAATTCCCGAGTCTTCTGCTAGAGGCCGAGGAGATTCAGGGTAACATCTGCGCAACATCTTAGCTTTCCTAGAAATGCGCTCTAGACAGAGAGTTTACTGGAATTTGTTGAAGCAACTTTTTAGTTTAGACATCACAGTTTTTGGTGCTCCTTTCATCACTGGTACTACTTTGGCCTTAAACCATAAATCATATATTGAGCAGATATTCCTGCAAATGGTGCCAACTATTTGATTATATTTTCAATATATGTTGCTCCTGCTTATATTTTTCATCCTTCCAATGTGTTTTGAAATTTTTCGGGGGTGTTTTTGCATAATCTGTACCTTGAATATTATCTAGTATAGTAGATCTCTGCTTCGATGGATCTGGTGCTTAGTACCTGCCTAATATCTTATGCTGCTACAATTAATGGTTCAGTGCTGCTTTTAAATATAAGGGAAATTGTTATAAGGGAAATCTGGGTGGAACTGAGTCTTTTCTATATTCTGCATTTTTTCTCCTGGTTCTCATCCAATTGAGCTGACCAAACCAGAAATATCCAGAGATGCAGTTAGAAGAAAATATAATATATGTGTATGTAGGCACATTTAAGATTCAGTGTTAAGTTAGATTTAAATGATCGATGGTGAGAAAATTTTTCAAATATTAGTAGTGAAATTCTCAAGCATATTCATGAATAAATTGAGAAGTTCGTTATTCTTTCTCATTTTCACTCATTTTTACTTTCTTTCTTTTCTGAATCCATTTAGCAAACCGAATACATTATGAAATTTTGCGGAATTTTTCAAAGGAACTATATAAATATATGAAATATAGCTTTATAACTATATGGAATTCGATTTCTCGCCTCTGACAGGAGCAAATCAAAATCCAGCAGGCCACCCACCTACATTTATAGTCAAGTGACTTGTTGGTATCGTAATAGCCAAACGAGAGAAATAATAATCACCATTCATAAAAAATATATTTTCATGAAATATCTGATCAGATAAGATTTTGCTCTTATTCTATAGATTTTTTTGCCTCAGAAAATAGTTAAAAAATTGACCATATCGCCATTTTTATATTCTTTAAAAAATGAATATAGCTCCAATAATATCAATTTTTCAAGTTTTCCCTAATCTTATGTAGAAATGCTTCTGAAAGAATCGTCGCTTAATAGTCATAACGTAAACGCAACAATCACTCAAGGACCAGAACTAGATTAACGATGGTGCAATTTGCATTAAAAAATATTTGTTTTGATTAACAACTGGATCGAGCATTTATAACGATTTTCTAATGCTATTTTATGTCCAATTTTTCGAATATTCCACAAATTCTTTAACAAAACCAAATGTATTTGGCTCTTCCATTTATTTTCAATAAAATATGGAAATTTGATTTGAAGCAATTTTTTGGAAGTAGGAAGTAGGAAAATTTATGTATTTATGAATTATTATTATTTAGATTTGCCATTTATGAAGACTGAATGAAATTCTTTAGAACAATGGAAAACCATAAAAATAGAATATTTCATGGTTAAATTAAGAACAATTTTATAATATTTGTATAAACATTAATATAATTTAGGCTGACGAATATAAACACAAGAATAAAAATTTAGTGTGGATTTGTTAACAGATTTTATTTAAACTATGGACATAGATGAGGATTAATGGAGTCCCAAGAAGCTGAGATATAATGAGATAAAATTTTAAAATTTTCATAAATTGGATTAAGCAAGCTGAATAAGAATGTCGTGGACAACTACGTTTTCCTTGTAATCTTATCTCCTCGAAAAAATATTTCATAATTTTTCTTTATTTATTACAAAGCTATTTTCAACAAAACTTTAGGAATGTTCCATTTTCCATTCAATAAAACTTTTAACACAAAATGTATTTCTTTCAAAATCTGTATTTAATTTTGGCCACACTGAGCTGTAAAAAATAAGACATAAAAAAACCTTTTCCTTTATCTTGGATTACAAGTTTTATTATTTTCTATATGCAGATGGCCATACCAAAATTACGTTGATATTCCTGAAATTTGTGAATAAATAATGCATAAGGATAAATTTATGAATAAAAATAAGCAGATAACCACTTTAGTTTGGACAATGAACTATTGCCACCGTATAAATTAACTGTGCACGAATGTGTCTGCAAAAAAACATGGTATTTATATTCACCAGTAATTTTATTAAACTTCCTCTTCGGCGTTTACGATCCACTCTAAATGCCTCTATTATTTTCCTTTAATATCCCGACTTTCAGAAAATTCAGAATCTACTCGTCACTTGAGGCCATAATCATGAAAAAAGTATGACTATAATTTTAAAAATTCGATCATCTATCGGATTCTCGAATGGATTCTTTTCAACGAATAACTGATTAATTAAGCAATTTCGAAGCTGCTTAATAAACCAGTCAACGATCTTAAAATGTTATGGAGGATAAAAATAAATAAAAAAAGTAAGTACTCATTAGAACTCATAGTTGCTTCTGCGTGTTAGCTTGATCAAAAATTTTCATTGAGAACCACTTGGCGGCAGAAGTATAATGGAACTCATTCACCTGGTCTCTTTAATAATAGGAGCATTCTTCTCAAAGCGATAATCTCGTCTACTCGTCTATCCTGTTCCTAATGAGCGATTGAAGAAGGGAAGGCCGATAAAAAAGTTTAAAATCGTACAAGATTGAGAAATAAAATCGAATATCATAAATCGAAAATTTACGTGAAATATGTGAAAGCATGCGATCATTTGGCACCAGCAATGAAAACAGCGAATAGCGTGATCCTTTTGCAAAATGAATTTTATTTTTTTAACTCATTATTATTTCCCTCTCTTCTCTCCTTTTTAATATCACTGTCTTATCACACCAAGAATTTCGAGAAAATGCTATAAATAATAAATTTTCAAAACAATGCATAGATAATGATATATTGAAAACAGATATTAAGAAGAGTTCAAGCCATTCGAAATTCATGCTTAAGGACAAGAATCAATAAGCATTTCCTACGACTTCATGTTAAATTATTACTGCCGCTTGAACGCCTGCTGACGATCATCTGATCTGATCCACGAATCTTTTTTTCTTCCTTCAGCAACCTATTTTTCTCAATTTTTTTCTTTTTCTAAACAGATTGACAAATTTTAAATTGATCACAAAATAACAAATAATTAAAAATAGCAAAAGGTTTTGCAATTCGATTAATTTTTTTGAGATTTATCTCTTTGATTTTGTTCGAGTTTGATTAACAATTCGCATTGCAAAGTGTTATTGTCATTTGTTTATTTTACTTGAAAAACTTCAAATTTTCATTTTTTCAACTAAGAATATTTTCTTCTGTTACTGTTATTGTTATTATAATCCATTATATCCTTAGCTTGAAATTTAATCAAATCAATTACGATTAGACGCAGTTTGAAGCGACATTTAAAAACTATTAAAAACTATTAATTTGCAATCAAAAGCTATAACCCATAATTTTTTCATTCAGTAATATCTCTTACCTTAATAAATTACATTACATTCTAATAACTTTCTTATTTTGAACTTCAACCATATTGTAAGTTCTGCTTAAGTAAACAAATGAGTGACTATAATTTCTAATTAAGCTTGCTTAACTGGCTATTAGCATAATCAGAAATTCTTGCCAGAGAGTCACCTTGCGATAAAGAATGGGCTACCGGTGCGACCCTAGTCTTGTTTGATTACATGTTTTAAAAAGTTGATGAATCGGTTATTTTTGTTAAATTTAAAGTTCTTGGAATTTCTGAAAAAAGCGATTATTTGGAGTAATGGAATAAAATGAACAATATTTTCGGAATCAATTCCATCATTTGTTGTGTTTAATTTTTTTCCAAGAAATAAGTAACGTTTTTGTTAATGTGGAAAAAGCGATACTACGTAATAATTATAGACCAACTGTTCGTCGATTATTGAATTCGTTGCATAAATTATTATGAAAATTAAATTAATTGCAAATAATGATATATTAATTTATACTTGTTTGTTTCCCATATATATCTATAATTAATCATTCATTTAGCCACTTTCACTTAAATGAATAATATTGACTTTAAAAATAGGAATATATTTAATGAAAGTAATAAAATAAATAATGCATAAATACTATCACTGAATCGGCAAAGTATTCTGGAAATGAAGATTTTGTCAAATAGTAATAATATAAAATCCAATTTTTTATTTTCCTATATAAAAACTAGGTACGAAGTGGACCTAAATCATTCACAAATTTTCCAGATTTTTTCTGCACGTTTCACTATTTTTTAAATAAAATTTTAAAATCTTTATGAATAATATTTTTGTTTCCGATCTTTTAGTAAATAAATTATGGTTTATAATTTAAGATCAACTCTCTCCTCTTCAATAGCTCTTACCATTGCAGGTTTAGCTAGTTTTACTGGATTTCATCAGTAAAATCTCATGGGGTTACAGTACATCCTCAGATTCTGAATAGTTTTTCTTCATTTTATTCCAATTACCATTTACGATTTGACTGACTCCACTATACCTTAGGCAAAGTATTCTACTCAATTATCCCGTATATGGATATAAATAAACAATTGATAAACAATTATTCTGAGCATATACTCAGAGTAGACTCATTCTCATAGACTCATTTTCAGTAACTTCTCATTAATATAACTATAAACTGTATTATACTAAAGGATTTGGAAATTGTAAGCATTTCAGGTTGAATTATCGAAACATCTCAGTGATATAAATGTATCAAAAATACCTCTTACTGATGCCCCAAGTAAAAGTATGCCTCGAAAAGTTCTCCAAATCTACATTAGGATATACGATTCGAGAATGTTCGTTGGATATAACCGTCCAACTGCCTGAAAAGACTGCCAAAACACAAATGTCAGGAGATCCTGGCTATCGAATGTTTAGGGAGTATACAACACTAGCACCAGGGAAGACAAAAATCGCTATTGGAGTGATATGGCCTTGGAGACGATTATTTAAGTTAAGTCTTCCTTCTTCATAAAGTGACTTGAAATGATCTGAGATAATGACGGCATGCTTGCTAAGGCTATTAAGGATCGCCTTGAGTGGATTCGTTCTCCAGCAGAACAGGAAATAAACTCTATCATCCAGAAGCTTAAAAAAATGTTTTCCATCACATATAAGGTGGTTAGATCAAAGCAATTCTTCTTCTAATCCAAGAAAAAATGATAGGATATGCTGTAACAACTATAAAAGAATTAACTTGGTAAACACCTCTGGGAAAAATTTCCTCCTCTTTTCTGCTGAAAGCCTTATGATAATAGGAGATAGTAGGATGCACTCTAATTAAGACGGATTCAGATCAGAGAGATGGTCATGACCAAATATTCATATTAGAAGGTTGAAATGTCGACATTCCGCCATCATTGTTTCATCGATTTTATCTTCGACTTGACAGAACAAATTCTCTGGAGAATAATGGAGTGCTAAGGTGTTCCAGAGAAGATCATTCTGGTATTTTATTATAAAAGCAACATATATCAGTATAGGTTTTTGTTTACTGGACATTCTTTTGAATTAAAAACTGGAGCTGCGCCCTTTCCTCAACAATATTCAAATATGCAGTAGATCAGGCATTAGTTTCAAGAGGTATACAAGAGGTCAGTCCAGTGCATAATACTACAGATCTGATGACATCTTTCTTACTGATTCAGTTATCAAGGAATGTAAATTTCGTATTATATACCAGTCCCTGATAAAATATTTAAGTCTATTTAAGTCAATTCATCACGGATTAAGCAAATGATAAACTCCAAATATCGTGGATCCAAATGGCCAAATAGAAAACGAGATTGCACTCCGGCTAATCGTAAGCAAAAATGCCCCTTTCGTCTGGCGAAACCTCTATGGAACCGCCGAAACCATTATAAAAAACGAAAGTTCGCATATGTTTGCAATGTCCACCAACTTGTTGTATTGTTGCGAGACATGGACAGTGAGAGGCTATCCACCTTTGAAATTCATGCCCAAAGAACATTTTACATATTTTTGCGAGTGGATAAAAGCCCGTATGATTGCTCGAACATCTGCCATGTAAAATGTTTTATTTTAAAAAAATGAGTAAAAGAAACAAAAAAATATGGATGAATGACTAAGCAAAAAAGGCTAATATTTTAATTTTTATTTTATAGAAAAAAAGCTTTACATAAGCTGAAAAAAGCTAAATATTTTATGTATTTTGGGACCTCGGAACTAAATTAAATTAAGAACCGTAATTTATTTCATGGTAAACGACGTGTTTTGCGACATTTAAAAAATTTATAACCATAATTTGTTAATTATTTGCGGTAAATGCAAATTGCATAGAAAAAAAAGCTTACTTACATTTATGCATATTTTATTTTGACTGGCAAAATATAAGAAAAAGGAAGTTTGTTGTTACTTTCCAAATAATCCACCCTCAGTTAACTGCATACAATTTATATCATCGTGGTTTCATGCTAATTCCTTCTTTCATCCTTATTCACTTCATTTAACAAGTAGTTTCTGCTTATATTAATTCTTAACTAAGAAATTTATTGGATTCAAAAATTTTTCTTACCCAATCTTACTTTTTTAACTTCGGGAATTTTATATTATCTTTCTTTTGTGGAATTTGAAGAATAGCCGAGTGGCTGTTATTTAAATATCGTTTCGAGCATCGTGTTTCCGCCTCTTCGATCCCTCTTCCCAGTAAATATACTGGAAAATTTAGGTATTGCGGGCAGCATACCTTTAGTTGTATCCCTAAATGATCAGATGGCAAAACCGTTCATCTTACAGTGGAACAAATTTAATCAAAATGTTAATTACCATGACAGTAAATTTGAGATCAAATTAACTTTTGGCCGAGGGTGTTATATTTTTCTCTCTAAACTAATTTTTATATAAAAATGTTGATTGTCAAAGTTGTTGGTGTCAACGTAAAGTTTTCTCATGATTTTAGTGAATATTTAAAACCAATCATATCATTGTTAAGATTGCATTTCAAGATCGAAACTGTAAGAATATTCCAGTTTTTTTCGAATTTTTCTAACGCAAACAATGCTTTAATGAAGCCAGAAAAAATCTTTTAGATCAGGAAATTTTATTCATATTCAAAGTTTTTTGATTAAAATCACTCCCATTTCAAGATGATCAGGATAGCAGAGTAGGTAGTGCTTATATTATCCTAATAAAGATCAAGAGTTCAACCTCTATTCTTGCCCCTTATAGAAGTAGACTTGTCACTGAATTCCGGCTGGTGCCACTGAATCCTTTATATTCTTGTTATTTCTATCGCTAAAGGTTTCTCTTGCAAAATTTTCTAATTACACTAAGGGTAATAAGCAGATTTGTTGAGCGCTGACCACTCACTCACTTATAATTCATAAATTCGAGCAAAAATTTATTTTCTTTATGTTTTGATTTATGCTAAATGACCACTAATGTACCACAAAGACTTCTATATTTATTATTTTATATTTATATTTATATTTAGAAATGAAAATTTTTAAAATTGGATTTTAAAATCGAAAATTAAGAAACTTTCTGTAGAGTGGCATAAAAGTTAAAAATTAAATTAAATTAAAAGTTGAATTTTTCTATTTTGGTGAATTTTTAAATGAAAATCCAATAAATCGCCATCACCATGTATTTTTTTATTTTTTTTATAGCTTGTAAATCTTTTAAACTTATTTTCATTTATCATTCAGTTAAAATTTCAGAGGATTATTGATTTGCAAAAATTAAAAATTCCTATCTGTTTTTTTCAATCTAAATTGTCTCAGCATCAAAGTTTTATGTTACTGTTTGTGTAAATGCTTACCATTTCTAGTTGAGACATGTTAGTACGATGAGAAACTTTAGCCATAGAACGTTTGCAATTTTAATGCTTCCGAAGGATCTGAATCATAACGATCGTGATTTAATACTCAGAATAGTAACCACTTAACTGCTTCGCTAATATGATTTATATATATATATATATATATATATATTTCCAGTTTAAAATTTCGCCAACAGCTTTTTTCATACGAATAGTTTTCAATTAAATAATCTCGAAATTGTTTTTAAGTCCTTTTGTGCTTTTAAGATTCCTTTTGAATCGTTAATTTACAGAAGTTCGCTAATTTATACAATCATACATATTATTTTTCCATGAAATTTTTCTTCCTGGCGAATTTCATGATTGTAATCGAATATAAACGGCAACTTTGTTTGAAAATGATCAATTACGATGTGATAGTATCGTATATAATTGCTGCTATGGTGATCATTGATGAATCAAAACTCATAGCTTAGCGGAGCTCATTATTTTATATATTTATAATATTAGTCGCCTATTTATAAATTCTGCAAAAAAACTTAAGTAATATTCGCTCCTCTGACGAAAATTTCCAATTTACGATTTTCACAGCGATAATCTTGATGTGAAATTAGTCAAAAAGCAAATAGATTCGCCAAAAAAAATTTGAATTTTTATTAAATTTTTTCTCAATTCGAATAGGAATGCACTATTTTTATTTTACAAATAAATTGCGGTTTATTTGTCGAATAGTAAATAGAAGCTGAAAAAATATGAAAAAACTCCATAAAAACTCGAATTTCGCATAAAAATCTTATAAACCTAGGAATTTTTTTTGATCATTAAAGTATGGCAAATCTTTTATGATGCAAACAATTAAACAAATGCTTGATTAAAGATCGCCGAATGAAGGTGTCTCGCAGTAATTTTAAAAGAATTTTCTTCATTTGCAAAGACAGACAACTTGTGGGAATTTTCTTATAAATATCCTTTTAAAATTCTTTTGCATTCATAATAAGTTTTTTATTTTCTCTTTTGTTTTTGCTCCCGATTTTTGATTTTCTTCTTCTTATATGATTCACCGTTCTGGTAGACACTCCCTCTACAGTGTTGAGAAATTAAGTGGATCGCCAGTAGATTTACGTGGATTTCTTAATGATAGGTTTGTTCTTGTCGCGAGCAAACCCTCGACGTGAGAATCCTAACAACAATCGCTTAAATGTCCCACTTCTTGAAGGAGTGTTGAGCAATAGTGATGGAAATCTTTTTTGCGGCATCTATAATCTCAAGTAACGCTAATTTGCAAGAAATAGTATTCGAATATTCAAAATATTTGATTATAAACTAAATTATAAACTAATTAATTAAATCTAAAAAGAGACTCAAATTGCAAGAAAATATTCGTTTATGGGGATTCAACGCGTTGCGAAGAGAAATATCGCTGTCATTCATCAATTTCTTCAGAAAACTTTAATTTAAGCTAAAGAAATTTTAAAAAATTTTTTGAAATAATGTTTCTGATAATTCTCGTATTTCATTGCGATAGATCCCGTCCAATAGAATGCCATTCCATTCTTCTTGAATAAACAAATTTTAAGCGATTCCTAGATTCAAATAAAAAATATGAATGATGACAATGAGCGTCATTCACCGATTTTTTCATTTTTATGATGTGAGGCATCTGATTCTCTGAGATGATTTGTTATTAGCATAATCACATACACAGCCTTAGGCAGGATAGAATTCCAGATTTTATTATACAATTGGCTCATCGTTTATGAATCAGTTACCATCATATTTCAATGAAAAATTTTTGGCAGTAGTTTGGCAAGACTTGTCATTAAGAATAAAATTGAAATGATCCACCTAAACTTTATCTCATTCTAACGTCAGTGCCATTAGCCAGAAGTTATTAGTACTGTTTGAGAAAAATGGAAAAAATAAATGACCAGCCTTTTCGATAATTTTCTGCCCGACCTGTAAATTTAATGCAATAAATATGGTTTTTTTAAAATGAAAGCATTTAATTTTTAGAGCCCCATTTCCTATATAAATTCAAATTCATTGTTGCTCGACATATTAATTAAAGAATATTAAATATGAAAGCATCCTGAATTTTACTCCTTTTACAACGTGAATACTGCACTGGTCCCTGAATTGTTTTTTCTTTAGTAATAGTGTATGGCGTAGACGTGGAATCATCACCCTGATTGTTT